CAGTTGACAAATTCTTAGCTATTTACATATTTACAATTTTTTATTCTTAAAAAAAAGAATAATACCTTGAGCCGATCTATTCTTAATTCTTATAGAACACGATATGTATTCGTAGAAAAATGAATATAATCCGCAAGATCCGATAGATATTTTGGATGCGGTTTTGATATAACACCAAAGAGTAGGTGTACTTTATTGATATATTGGATTAATCGAATATATCAATAAAATCAGTTCAAAACGTTCTGCCGATAACGAAAAGTTTGTCATTGACCACAGATGGTACTTGTATACACATCATGTGGATGCCGGATATATCCGGCGCTCGAAGCGAAAGGGTTAAGTCACACTGTGTGTAGTAATAACGTAATAAGTAAACCTATTCGTAGGAATATGTTAAAAAGAGGACAATTGTGTACGCAACAACATGGAAATCACTACTAGCAATTTATAAACTGAGCGAAATTACTCCTAAATATTGTAGCCTTGACTCCTAATGTATTCCATGCATACAAACATTGTATATTCTTATAGAGAGAAAAAGAAACAGTTTACTCATATAAAAAAAATGTTATTCTACATTTTTGACTAATTATTTTATGTAGAATCATCCCCTTTCCGGTTATACTATCAGTTACAAGGCAATCTGTATCTTTGTGATCAACGTTACGAGACCTTTAATTTATACCAAACATAACCACAATCCCTTCTGCGAAAAAATTTGGTTTATTGGCTTATAGGAGACTGGCTTCACTCTTTGGCACAGCTTTGTTGCATCACTATGCAATCTTTCGAATAGCAGATCTATTGGTGAATAATTTTGCTTTTGAGTGCATAAAAACTACTAGTGTAGTCGCTCTTAATGGTATTAACCATTACTGGCATGGAGATAATAAATGCCACATAACTGAATAATGAGATAAGTCCTGTCATTCATGTACTGTTATAGAAAATTCATCCTTGTCTACTTGTAACAAAACCACTATTATTATCTTTTATATAAGGTGTTTCAAAGTTAAACGAGTAAATTTTATTCGTTATTCTGTGAAAAAATATAAGTAAAAAATGTTATTCAGATATAAGTCATTTAGAAGAAAAATTATAATAAAAATATAAAACTAGAAAACAATAGCGATTTTGTTTCTGATACATTATAATGCAGGAATAATCTAACGATTTTTATCGTCTCTACTCATAATGGTTATGCTTGCTATTTCATTTAATAATATGTATATTAATAAGATTTTATTTTTTACCTGGACTGATCATACATTCGTTTTCACTATTTCTAGACTACCGTCTACTAGTATTTTTAGAAGAAATCTCGTTTCTAGTATCATTAACAGACGTAGTTTTAATTATACGTATAGCTGCCTGAATAATTAGGTGAACATTATTGTGATTGTTTATCTAAAAATATTTTTGAATTTTATTATATTATATTTTTATCTGCGAGAAACTGTGAAGGAATATGGTATGCTATAAAAGTCGATTTAAGGCAAAAATTAATTGAACGGACTAGTGATGTATGTATTTATCAAGTTAAAATCAAATACACGAAACATGTCAAACTTATATTCGGAACCGAGATTATTTTATAGAAGAAACATGAAAGCATTTATAGCCACTTGTGTATGTATATAACACTTCTTTTTATTTTTATCTATCACATATTTACAGATTTATTCAAATCAATCTGATTAAAATTTCTAATAATCTCATATAATTGCAGTGGTATACAATGTGTATGTTATTTTCATTTTCATCTATTTGTTCTGATAATATTCAATAACATTTGTTATATAAAATTATATAAAATTTATTTAATATTAATATTAATAATAATATTTAATATTATCAGATTTTCAAAAAAAGAAAGGTATCTAAAATTTTGTACAAGAACAAATATGAAGAAAAACATTTTTGCATAATGTGAAATCGTGATATGAATTTTCCAATACTGACAACATTGTATCAATAAGGACACCACCATATCTCAATTTCACTTTTTTGATTAATGGCCAAAGAGGTGGAAAATCGAGGAATTCGGTGATTCAGTGATCCAAGAAATTCGGCTATCTAGTGGATCGCAACAGAGGAGAATTTTCGATAAGAGTTACTTACGCCGCAGGGTTCGATTTGAAGAGGCGGTAGAGGGTTAAGAATCCGTAAGGGTGGTGGTGGTTCTCGTCTAGCCGGGGGTGGCGGTGGTGCACCCGGTGGTGTGACATTCGTATCGCCTGGAAGTCGACACACCACCAGTTCTACGGTGCTGGGTGTCGTTCGTAGAACCTCGAGGGCTTCCTGCAACAAGTTGCATCGATGTCAGATTAAAAGTCGAATTTGATTATTGCTGAAGAGTTTAACAACTAGAGTAAATATCTCTATTATTGCCACTTTATCGTCGTTAATATTTTCCGAACCGAAAAAGTTATATTTTTCTTACATTACATAAATGACTTCTATTTTATAAAATAACGATGTTTTATGCGTGAAATATAAATACTTAATTAATAATTATTACATTATAAAATGGGATGAGGACGTGACAGGGAAAAAATGGTAACTCTTATTTTCCACCTTTAACTTCCCGTTTATTTCGCAAGCAGGTCCACGACCTTACTCTTCGACTAACAGTGATGAACTAAACTTTCGTACTTATAACACTCACCCCCACACATCCTGATGCATTCTAACCCGGAATCATTCTTTCCTCTTCCAAACCGAATCGCTCTCACTCTAAACCAATCATTCAACGATACACGCGTATTTCTCAAGCATTCCTCGAACTCGGACACACAACGCGACACTCGACTCGATGATCCAAACATCCTCTCGCAAACGCTACGCAGCATTCACTCGGACTCAGGCAAATAACTCATTATCGCATCTCATTCACACTCAAAATCCTTACGCCTGGACTAAATATAATAAATTAGGCTGGGACATGGCGGTCGCTAAATCGACGCCACAAAAGAATTTATGATGCTCTTAAAATTATTAACTTCAAACCTTATATGACGCATCCAATAATAATCAACAGTACTTTTTTTGATCTTATTAGAATTCAAACTAAATAATTTTTATCGGCCATAAAAAATTAATTAAATTCCACCCCAACCACTCACTGGCTAAATCGTGCCAGATATGACTTTTTGTGAGAGAATTAAACTTTTTTAAAATAGGCCAAAACTCCAAGAAAAATTGTTGAACGTGCCGAACGGTCTCTAGGACGGGTTTAGGGGACGGAGAGCCCTTCAGCAAGCACAAGCGAGTTTAGACGTTTATAGGTACAAAACATAACTTTATTGGCGATGATCTTTTAGAATAGTTTCTTTAATTAAGTAAAATAAAGGAAACGGCAGATATACGACAGCTGTCAGTTATGGAAGGTGTCGTGTTTATGTTTAAATAATTAATATAAACAAAGAAAATCATTTAATCTTTCATAACGCCTTTTCCTAATAAAATTTGATGACTTTTATATTTTCAAATTTTCAAACATAATTGTGTACAATATCAGGTGATTCATGAGAAACAGAACATCTAACTATTTCGGTTCACCTTAAAAGTAGAAGAAAATGTTAGAGAAAAAATAAGTTAAACAGTTAGTTATATGGCTTAAGGGGTAACACCACTCTAGGATTTTCAGAAAGTCGATTTTTTTTTCTTTGCTAAAACAATACTTCCAGGGTCTTAAGAACAGAATTAAGAACAGAATGCCGTTTGATTTATAGTGGAAAACAGATTTTAAATGGTTCAATTATCAATTTTGCCGTAGCGCCTCAGAGCGCGCACTGAGTACTCGCGCGGTATGTTGCAATTCATCGCTTTTGTATTATTGTTATCATTTAAAATAATAAGTTTAATTGTTTCCTACAAAACAAACAGAAGCATTCAGAAAGCTGGAGAAGGTGGCAAACACTGATCTGGATAGCCAAATGTATAGTACAAGCATTGCAGATTAGCGGTGA